TATAATTTTCGGACAAGATCAGGGTCGCTCTGACAACAGGACCAATTTGCAAAAACGAAGTCAAACCACTTCTACACAGTCAAGTGGGCCAAACATTCTGCTGGTCTTCATATCTGCGTTTAAACGTTTATTTTGCCACCGGACTCGACTGATCTTATATTCATGGTAATTATCGAAACCTGCTCATATACCTCTCCTCGTGGGCCACCCTCCAGCCCACTATTCCTTCAATCCTCTGCCTCTGCTGCTTGCCCTTGTCGCTTTATCCTCGATCGATTCTTCTTCATCACCAAGGCTTTCCCAAGTCTGGTCGATAACGGACGCATCCACCTTTGTTCGCTAATATTTGTGTCCCTTCTGGATGTCTCTGTTCCTTCGCGTGGTTTTAGGATGCATTTGGCGTGGGCGTGGGCGGATGTGGCTATGTGACGTTTCCCCTTGTGTGTTGTGTGCATGTGCGCCCATATTCTATCCGCTATTCTTCTTCACTGCTCATTGGCTGCAAGGCCTTTTGAATGTCTCTTCTTCCCACTGGTGTGTGTTTGCTGCCCACTGTATGGGCATCAGGCCGAGGTCTTGGTGAGCCGAAGGCCTTCATTCTCCTTTCGTCTGGTATCCGCCCGGCAGGGAGGAAATCGTCACTCGGTCGTCGAAACAATTCACTCAATCTTCCCCTTTCCTCCTGCCGGGATGGCGAAATGTGTTCTCGGCGTCTGGCCACTGCAGCCTGAATGGTGTTTTCGTGTAGCCGGCCTCTGCTGACCGGGTCTTCTTGACCTTACCACCCTCTTCACTACACACTGCATGCATATCAATTTTTGGTCTCATCCTTGATGGTGCTATTTTGACTGTTTGAGGCTGTCATAGACTCATTTCGGTGGTCAACTTTGGGCCAGCATCTGCATTTTCATTGTTTTTCATCGGCGTCAACAACGGCCCTTACTGCAGGCAGCATTAGTTACTCGAAGATATGAAGACCAAGATGGTGTGGCCTTTTGTGTGGTCGCAGTCCCCTTTCGTTGTATAGAAGTT